AGGATTTATGTAGCTCAGGCTAGCTTTGAACTCCTAGTGATCCTCCTGCCTCAGCCTCCCCCATGCTGGGATTACAGACATGCCACCATGCCCAGCTCAACTAGTTTTAGTAATGGCTACAACTTTTCAATCCTTTTAATCTACTTATTTTATTTTATTTATTTATTTGTGTGTGTGTGTGTGGCCAGCTCAGCCCACCAGGGGGCGGAGCTGGCTGGCATGTGGTGCTGGGGGGTTGAACCACGGTCCCTGTGCTTTGCTGAGCTTGTTCTAAGTAGGTGCTTTAGACCACTGAGCCATCTCACCAGCCCCCAATCTACTTATTTTTGTATACAAAGTACATTTTTGCCCACAACTTAGAGTTGGCTTTTGTTTTATTTTTGTAGTCTCTTAACTTCTGTTACTTAATTAGAATATGTATTTCTAACATTCACATTTAAAGTGCATACTCAAGTGTTTGGGTCTGAGTCTGCCATTTTCCACTTTGTTTTTTATTTGCCCTTGGGTTCTTGTTCGCTTTTCATCTTCATTGTTTTGGAGTATTTTAGGATTAGTTTTATCTCTATTGGCTTGCTAGTTACAATGCTTGGCTGTGTTCTTCAGTGGTTGCTATGGGATCAGGCAGATTGGCTGAGTTGCAGCGCTGGCCTGTTGTTCTCCAGGTGAATGACTGGCAGGATGACTGGCCGACCTTCTTCACCAGGCATCGACTCCAAGCACAGCTAGACCTCATCGAGAAGGACTATGCTGACCGGGAGGCGAGAGAACTCTGGTCTAGGCTACAGGTGGGCACTGCAGCTACTTCTCTGGGAAAAAGGCAATGCTCTCACATCCTGCAACATTCATGGGGTTCTGAGTCCTGGAGTAGAGCTGGTCCAGTTGGGGACATCCAGTTGGCTTCGCCTGATGCTGGATCACCAGCTGTCTCATCTGAAGTTTTTCTAAGGTGCCTGGCTCGAGTGGTGGCCCCCACTGTCACCTGTCTCATTATTAGTAACACCTGCCCACTCTTCCCACTTCTGCCAAAACATGAATGTTTCTACTTTAGTGAAGATGCAGGTTCTAGAATGACTGGTTTCAAATTATAACGCTTAACATATTAGGCACGAGATTTGTGCGTTGATGCAGAGTGCATAAGCATCAGAAGAATTTTACTTATTAGTGAAGTAACCAGCAGGATATAAAAGAGGTGGGATACATAAACTGGCTGGTATTTTGTAGGATGATAAAAATAACTTGAGGTTCTTTCTTGTGTGAAGCAATCCATCAGTTCATACATGCTAGGGAGATAGCTCAGCAGCATAAGCACCTACCTGCCAAGCACAAGGTTCTATTCTCGTGTTTTTTTTTTTTTTTT